TTCAAGCCTCTAGTGAGGCTCCCATCTCACATTATTTGCTCTTAATACATCTGCAGCATCCCATGTGAACTAATGAAGTCTTAATTCAAGCTTCAGATCTCTCCTTCCTTTTGGCAATTAAAATGACCCAGCCGATTGTCCACTCTGCCTCCATCCTATCTACATTTTCCTCAAGCATTATGCATTTCTGTGACCCTAACCTTCTTTCAGAAAGGGCAAAGTTTAGAAAATGGCTGAGGCCCCTTATAGCTCCAGAGCATTCTTGTGGCCAGAGTACCCCCTACTGTGTCACTGACGGCCCACTGAGTCCATCTGTCATAGGGCCAGAGGCCTCCGCTGCTGGGTGACATGTTGGTCTGTGGTCTGCTAAGTGGACATCTTCTTTTCATTTTCAGCAATGTGGGGAGTCCGGGAAGAGCCCTTCAGTGAAACAATGTGACTGACTAGCAAGGTGCCTGCTTTATTTTCCAGCTTAAAAGTCACTTTTCCATTTGTTCTACACACTTCATCATGTGTTCACTGCACAGGAGAGGTCGGCTGGCACTCAGCCCTGAGCAGCAGCATATGTTACCCTCGCCCTGCCATGTCCATCATTCCACTGTGCTCTCCCTGAACCGGGTATCACCATTGCCCACACTCCTGGATTCCATGCTGCTGGCATTACCTGTCTCCATACTTTCTGTTGATGCTTTTAAAGACGTGTACATCCTATCAAATTAAAGCCAAGTTTGAGTGCTCTAAAGAGGATAATGAAGATATTTTGTTCTCTTAAGTGCTAAATAATTTCAAGTTTTCATTCTCAGAATCTTGCCCAAACATGACTCACAATTTACTACTATTAAGATAAGGCTCACGTGAGCTGAGATTTCATGACATTTTCAGAAACATGTAGTCCAAATTTTAGTGCTAATGAGAAGTCTAGGGAATATTGATTTGTATAAAAGGGAGGGGTTCTGGCTTGAGGCTATTGTTCAGGGAGTGGGGGCTGCCTGAGGTATGGGAAGCTTTGGATTTGTGGTACAATCAAGAAGCAATGGACTGAATTGAATATCAGATGACTTGGGTCTAGCCCTGGCTTTGAACTTGGCCAAGGCTTTTTTAAATTCTTGGCCTGGATGTCTCCATCTGCAAAATGATTAGACTTGGCAAGAGGCTTTCTCTGATCTCTCCCAGCAATAACATTCTGTATTTCTAAAACATGTACGAAAACTTTGACCAGTTCATCTGGTCGTATGTACTAATAAGTTACCATCTTCAATGTTTGCATGTCATAGCTCTGACCATTGTAACTAATAGCAATGTTGCAGATAGTGGATGCAGACCTTGGAAATGTAACACCACAAGGAAGAGAGGGATGCCAGTGTATCTCTTGTTTACAAGATTTCATCTTCTCCCACCCTTGACACATATACCTTCTATAATTAAACACTAAGGAAAGGGAGAAGCCAATGAAAGCACAGCTGAACTTATGTTTAAATAATATGTTTCCAAAGTGTCACTGAGCAGGCAAGTTTATCTTTGAGCCAATTAAATAATTCTAGCTCCACTTTGGCCTCTTTTGTAATTGGTGTATTTGGTGACACACGTTAATAGGCAATGCATGTTTACAGCTGTGTCGTGGTGCTCCCATGCGTCCAAACATATTTTTTGAGTAAAATGAAAGATTTTGATTGACTTCTATTTTCTGAAGCTGAACTCTGGATACTTTAAGAGAAGGAGATTTAAATTAGAGTTTAGTAGGATAGGGTCCACCCTAAGAATTTATTTCTAAAGTATATTTGATCTATTATAAATGCCTTGGATGTTTGTGCTATATGCAGAGATAAAACTTTTCTTCTCGTATAGCACAAAGATAATTTCTAAAGGTCTTGTTGATTGTGCAAACACAGGGATGTTTCCCTTCAATGAGAATTAATACTGTCTGTCTATAGAATGGCAGCAGTATTCAGTATGCCACAAAAGTTCCTGAAAGCATCATATTTATAATGATTGTAATAAGCGATTCCATCCTCCTGGTATTTAGCCTTCATGGTAACTTCTTTTTGATGAAAAAATATAGAGAATTATGCACAAAGGAGCAGTTTTTATACTTGTAATGGAAATATTAAAAAGAGACCCATTTTTACAAATTGTCTATCTAATAGAGATTTTACAGCATCTGTAAAATATAGACACTGCATCTTGCAGCACTGTTTCTGCTGTTAGGGTGTGTGCTGGTTTGTATAAGGTGTATATTTTCATATATGTTCTCTGGGTACATTATATGTATTACATATAAATATAAATCATGGTACCTAAAGTCTCCAGGGAAGCCCCCCACCCCTTAGTCATCCAGTGCAAACCATGAAAGTCCCCTAACAAACAGGATTAAAATTCACTCCTTTCAACCATCCTAGGCATTTATTCCTTCCTTTTCATTGAGCTACATTTGTCTGATTTAACAAGATAAGATTTGAGTGCTGATGCAGCCCGTTGTTAATGTAGCAGCCGCATCCACCATACCATCGACACTCGGCATCAGAGGAATGCATAAATCAGGTATTCAAAAAAAATTAGATATGCAGCACACCAGTTTTATAGTCCCAGCCTCAGAAATTGAAATGGCCCAGATTAATGTATTATATCTTACACACTGTCCGAGTGAATCAACTTTAATATATTGAACAGATTCGCAGAACAAGACTTTGTTATCTAAGGAGCACTCGGAAGAAGGAATTGACCTGAGGATTTGATTTGGTTCAGGTAGTTCATGTTGTACAGCGGCATTTGAATAGTTTCACATAAAAATAAAATTTGTATTAGAAATATTTCACATCATTTCTGGGCTCATCCACATGGCAGCTTTGCAGAGGGCCAGTATTATAGAAACAATGTCCAGCCAAGATATGATTTTAACCTTTGCTTCTGACATGGCAAAACAATATAATTGTAATTTTAATGCAAGCTGCTGTTTTTCAGCAAGGCAGCTTGTACAGGCTGACTTTAACTAGTTTGGATTTTGACTGGAAATGAAATGCCCATTGAATTGCTCATACAATAGAAGTACCACAATTTGTAGCGTTCCATTCCCAAAGGCTCAGTCGGGGCTGAAGCCGCTCTGTGAAGAAGCTGCTTTTTATACTGTTGGATGCCTTTCCAGGAAAGGACTAGCCTGGAAGCAATGCAAGGTTGTGAGGACAGTGGCTCTTTTCTTTGCCAGGCTGGGATAGCCATGACCAGGAAATAGTTTTGGGATTTGAACTCAGAGATGATGTGATCTTTCCCCTGATTGCCTAGAATAGAGGAAGGATGGGGAAGAAGAGCAAACATTGAAGTCTAGAGAGAAAGAGTCTGCATTTGGAGAATACATGCCAAAGTGTTTCATTCTTCTACACTTCTTTTTGCTGTTTTAAATACAGCCACATTCTAGACGGCCCTCTTTGTGTAACTGCAAGACCTGCAAGACTGTGCTCTCTTCCCAGGGTAACAATGATGGAGCCTGAAATCATATCTTATACTTATTGGCAGTGTCAGCTGTGTGATCCACGACAGACTATAAGCTCCACCCTACCCAGAGGTGGCATTCTACTTAATGCATTTGATAGAACAAATGCTAGCAGTAGTGATGTTTTTCTCGTTGAACTCAGAAAATCTTTGTTGTTTCTAAAGTGTTTGGAATGAGAGAAATAGGCAGAGACAGACAATAAACGTAAAGACAGTAAATAGACACAAAACTGGTCAAACACTAGTTCCTGGTACATTTACATGCAAGGTAAACAAGAAGTCAAAAAAAAAAAAAAAAAGCACACTCCATCTTCAGGATGATACTACAGCCCTTGGTGGTGAAGATTCTTTTGCCTATTTTTTTTTACCCAATTAGTTTCGCCTGTTTTTCATACCTTTCATTTATGCTAATTTTTAACTAAAAAGCGTGCTTTGGTTCATTCAGCCAACCTCATAGGGAGATGGCTATCGCCCCCAGTTTTTCTGTGGTTGGTGGAACTGTACGTGAACATGTCTGACATCAGAAATCTGATTATGCTTTTACAACTGTTTCTGCTTCTGTTTTCACCTGCCCAGTTCTCCCTTTTCAGATGTCAATACTGGTGTTTTAATTGACTGGTAACCTAAACTTCAGCCCTCTTTAATTTCTCCCCTGTCAACCCAACCAGGCCAGGACCCACCGATGGAAGAGGGAAGCTTGTCCCTTCAGGGTCCTGGACTTGGAAACCATCTGATGGCCCCTCTGAGGACACAGGTCAAGGCCCAAGACTGTCTTTGAGCAGGGCAAGGGTCAGCAGGGACAAGGGACCCACGTGTCACTTGCCATATCATTGCAGACACTGGGATTCATCTCTCTCCCTGCATCTTACATTACCCCTTATCCCAGTGTTTTTCTGTTAGTATTTTGGGGTACTGATTTAAGTCTCTTTTTCCCAAGAGAACTCAAAGCTCTTTAAAACTGTCTTTTTCATATATTCCTCATTTTTAGCACAGTGCCTGGCACATAATACAATTTCACTAGAAATTAGTGGAACTCGCATATTCATTCATTCAGTGAATGTTTTTGAATGCTGCCTCTGTGTCAGGCACTGTTCTAAGCCCCAGGGATACAGCGGTGAACATAACAAAGCCCCTACTCTCACAGCACTTACACTTTAGGGTGGGAAACAGATATTGGCAAACAAACAGGTGTTAAATAAGCCATATGAAATTACCAATATTTGACCAGATGAGATCTAGAAAAATAGCAATTTCATATGGTCTGACCTAATACACAGCATGTCATGTGGAGATAATGAACATATCAGTGCAGTCGTGGTGTTTGACAACATTCTCTGAGCCGTGTTACGATTTGAAAGGTTCCAGCTCGAGCTTATTCTACTTTCACATAATAAAATTGTCCAAAAATCAACAGGATAAAAAATGGAGCACCATTAGTCAGATAAAATATCATAGTTGCTCTCATGACTATTGAAACAACAATCATGGCATCCTGTTATGTGTATGTTTCTCTACAGAGTTGGTGTGGCAGAGCCAGACTTTTTCTGTATTTGAGGGTCTCAGCATATCCTCAGAGTCCTGGAGAACCTGTGCCAAGTACCTGTGTGACCAACAGGATTCTTATTGAGCCATAGTGACCCTTCTCCCTCATGACTTTAGGCCCTTCACCATGGCTCTGGTAAGTAAAGCTGCCATTCTGGGATGAGTGATTTGGAGGCTGGCAAACCAAAGGAAATGAGACCACACAACGTGTTTCCCCACCTCCTTGCCCAAGCTGAGGAATGAATGGCAGTGTCTGTAATGATATGGCAAGTGGCATGTGGGTCCCTTGTCCCCGCTGACCCTTGCCCTGCCCAGAGACTATCTTGGGCCTTGACCTATGTCCTCAGAGGGGCCATCGATGGTTTCCAAGTCCAGGACCCTGAGGGGGACAAGCTTCCCTCTTGCAGGCACATTTGGTGCATTATCTCTCACAGCTTGTTCTTATAATACTCAGCTGTGACAGCACAGTCTCTGAGCATGCATAGGAAGGTGTCAAAAAAGTGCTAACATTTCTGCTTGTTCCGATCATTAATTTTCTCAAAGAAATACTAAATAAAATGACATTTTTAAAAAGCCCTCCTACACTGCCATTTCTAAAGTTTTATTTTAAATGTTCTGCCCTCAAATGGCTTTTTCCCCTTCCACTTAGAATTATTTTTCCAGATTAAAGTTCATAGCTCTTTTATAAAATATATATGATAAATATTTTTGCATACTTTAAAAAATTATATAACAAACAGTGATGCTTGGGAGCTTTTTCTGGAATTATAAAGGATTTTTTTAGGAAAGTCCAAAGCAAAGGAGAGCAGAGGGAAGCTGCTGCAGAAGGGAAAATGATGCTTTCTGCCCCTCTGTGATCCTGGGGTTGGTAGATGGCTTTTCATCTCTAGCTCACTGGAACTGACTGAAGACCAAGGTCATATGTCTCACTTGGAACATCTCTGCAGTGGCTGGTACAGGGCTCTGTGCACAGGGTAGGCTAGAATGGCATTTATAGAGAAATCATCTCACCGGCCCCTTATTAAGCACAAGCAATGTGCTAGATCTCACCAGACCCTACATTAGGAAATTATTCTACCCATTTTACAAATAGGCAAACTGAGACCCAGAGGGTTCACTGGCTAAGATTATACTGCTAACAAGTGACAGAGTCAAGATCCAAACCCAGGTCTTCACCTCTAAAGTCTGTGATCTCTCTACTCTATTGCTATGCTTCTGACATGGTACAGTTCTCAAGAAAGGGTAACGTTCAAACAGTTCAGCAAAAGAATGCGTTTGGCATTAGGAAGTGGCTGAGGTATTCAGGTCAAATTAAAATCCATTGTATGTATATTCTAGGTTTGTTAATGTTCACTTCCCCCCTTTTCCAAAAAACTTGAGCCTTCCTGAGACGTCTATCCTTGACCCCACATACCCTAACGTCTGACATCAGGAGACCCTCATAGTAAACTGCACGATGGATAAGAACTGCTCTCCTGCAACACGACCTCCTACCCTTGTCCAACAGACAACTCTGAGAGATCCACAAATATCTTTCAGCAGTCATAGGACATTCTGTTCATTAAAGTAAAAATAAAGTGGCTCCAACCCCCAGTTTATAGATTTCCCCAAGGTTTCTGGAGACTTGGAAACAGGAAATGCTGTATTCTCCCAGGCACCTCTAACTCTAAATTCTTGCTTTCTCTGAACTCTCTCCACAATGCTCGGCTATGCTAATGAGTACTGTCATCATTCTCTCAAGCACCACAAAATTGAGTTATTACACATAATATGCATTTATTGACAATGTCCCAGTAGGGAGAGGGATTACAGCACAGAAGAGAAAACAACTTTAAATTGACCATGTGCTATTGCTGCTTTTACAGTCCCTTGAACATTCTCATTGCAGGGTGTGTCCTCCCTGGGACTGAGTCCCTGTCCATTAATCTGGGGCTTGTTCTTCCTGCTGTCATCTTTTTACTGCATCTGTTCTCCGCTCACATCTCCAGCCTTACTCCAGTTCTCCAAGCCTACCAGAGGAAAACTGAAAATTCCTGTAATGTTATTCTGCAGAGTGACTTAAGACCACGTTTTCCTATTTCATACTTTGCACAGGCCTCTAATTCTATATAACTAAAAAGACCCACTCACTGGTTATCTTCAACCATCAAACATCTACTGAGACAGTATCAGGAGCTTTCCTGGAAAGCACAGGGTGCTCCCATCATCTCCTTTTGTACATCACATCTTGCCCCTCATACTGACTCTGATTTTGTACTACTAGTATGATTTGGATTGAACACATTCCAGGAGTCAACTAGCAGCTGACTTCTTTCTCTCCTCTACTTTCTCCACTCTTTCCACATGTTTGGTTGATGTTTTTCTGACTCCAGAAATCATGTTTGGGGAATCCTTGAAGCCATTACTCTGTAGGGACTGAGGGCTAATCTTTGAATCAATGTGCTGGGCTTCTGGTTTGTTTTCTCTTTCCTAAGCTACCTCGTGATACAAATGTCACATGGACGTGAGCCTAAGTCACTTCTTTCCCTCCAGAACGAGACTTGATTTGGTTGTAACTCACAAACAAATATGCCATCTCCAGTGTCTTAACTAATCTGTAAGGCAACTATACAATGAACCTTCTGAATAGTGATAATTTAAATGGCTACTACATATTAAATATTTTCTAAGTGCAAAGTACCATGTCTAACATATATCATGTAAGCTTTATCAAGCAATGTGTCATAGAAATTGTTAGCCCATTTTACAGGTGAAGAAACTGAGGCGCCAAGAGTTTCATAGCTTGCACAAAGTTACAGAATTAAAAAGAAGAAACAAAGATTGTAATTTGAGACTTTTTGTTTCTGGTGTACAAGTTCTTAACCATTCCATTTTTATCACTTGTCCCACAGGTGATATATAGATATATACTTCAATTTCCATGTAATTCCATTACATTTGCTTACATGTAATCTAAGCAAATGAGCCCATGGCTATAGGTCAATAATGGACAAATTCACCAGTCCACTAAAGCCAAGTAAAGGGAAATAAAGGTGCCACAGAATTGAGCTTTTTTTTTTTTTTTACTATAGTTAATCTTATCTTTGATTTAATTATTTACATTCCTGGAACAGCCTCTTATATTCACTTAATTATCTAGCTTCATCAGAACATCTTATAACAATTTATTGCCTATTTGTCCCCCCTTTGTTTCTCACTGGAAATTTCTTTCCACATATCCTAGCCTGGAGATCACCAAATGAGTCAATTTTTCTAAAGTCTATCAAGCACTGGGATCATGTCTGTGACAACTAGTTATGGGTAGTTGATTTTATGGTGCTTTTAAAGGATGATGTTTGGGATCATTATTCAGAATGCTCTTTTGTTGGTTATCTTACCTAGTTAGAATGTTTTAGGTGTGCTTACTTGAACAGCATGGTCCTTTTATGTCCCTCCTTTAAAAATGGTGCTCTGCTGGTGTGAGGCCTGGTGAGTCATCAGCGCATGGTACTGGAGAACCACACTTTAATGAAAGCAAGCTGTTTGTGGGCTCCTGAAGGACCTCTTACCCTCAGGCTTGCAGTTACCATGAGACTTCACAGAGGCCACTAAGAGAGCCCTTATTTCCTAAACACCTTCAAGAAAGTGGGGTACAAGGATCTAAAAGAGACTAAGAAACTCAGCAACATTCTCAGAGCTGGTCTAAACGACACCAACATTTATTTTTTTAAGTTAAAGTGGAAAACAGTCAATCAATCATCTAAATGTGTTGACTTTCAACATCTAGATACTTTCAACATTGGTCTCATGGGAACAAAGCTGTAGTATTTTCTTGACCAGTGTTCCAAATATGGTGGAGTGACCTGGATATTCTGGAGATGTTTTTGCCTTTCTTTCAGATGGTGAAAAAATTATCTTAAGCTTGGAATTAAGTGATGAAAGGGACCTTGGAAATTATCAACTCTAAGCACTTCTTAACAGGTGAGGATATGACGTGGCCAATCTTAGTCCCGTTGCTAATTCCAGAGGCAGGAGTGAAAACAAAGTTCTTCTGCTTCCAGCTGCATCTTCATACAGCTATGTCATCCTGTATTTTCTTTTGTAAGGACAAAGAAAAGTGGCAGCTGGAATATTCCATCTTTGACATTAGATTTTTCTCTTTCCAAATATAGACACGATTATGCCTGCATAGGTAAGAGGTACAACACACATTGGGCCATCGTCATGATTCTCCAGTATATAGGATGAATACATCTTATGTGCAAAGCTCCAGACAAGGCCTGAGAAAATATGAAAAGCTAGAAGACACCACCCCACACTTTACCTAATGGCAGTGCCATTGGAAACAATCACTTGTGCCAACCTCGTAGTTCAGAGAAAATAACACGGCCTAAAGAAAATCAGGCCCTGAGTCAAATGTGTTCAGCCTTCCCTGAAAATCAACTTTTTCCTGAGAATGTGTATGTAAAGGAATTTTAAGAATATTTGAAGAATGCAAATAATTATATTTTCTTAGCGTAGTTAAGGAAAGGATGTGTTTATGGGAGGAAGAGTGGGTGTGCAGTGGCTGCTCTAACAAGTATGGTCCCCCCAATGTATATTTAATAGGATAAGGATGGTTTTCTTGAAGTTAATGGCATAGAGTTATGATTAAAGTATATGTGATATGAGGGATGTAGGAAAGTCCAACAAATAAGAACGCATGGGCAAGCTCATAAAAGAAGACAAGACTAATTGTATTAATGTGGTTATTTTTGTTTTTAAGAAAGTCCTGAAGGATTCACATTTTAGAAGATTTGCTTCCAAAGATGCCATAGTCTTCTAAAATCATACTCTAAAAATCAATGTAAATGTAAATGTTCATTTCTAATATGAAAAAAATTAATCAAACATTTGTTGCTATTTCATAGATCCAGGCTTTATTATATGCCCTTCGTTTATAGGAAAATTGAAAGCAGTTAAGAACCTGCCCCCTGCCGTGCTGAGTTGGAGTTCTTGGTGCCTGGGTGAGTCCCCAAGGCCACTGGTCTTCAGATCTTTCTTACTTGAGAAGAATGCCTCCACCTCCTGGCTCTCCCACCAGTGGTACTGCCACCACCACACACCAGCGTACAACACAGATTGCTGCCCAGCTCCTTGGAGAGGGGCCAGTGCATTTGTCAGGAATTGAAAAGTTTTGGAGCCAGTTCGAGGACTTTCTGGTACACAAAGTGTTGGCTGGAAGCATGGTGAGTATTAAATGGGATGTTAATTTTCATGAATATTTTCCCCATGGTTGTAGCTTGTGGTCATTGAGCAATTTAGCAATCACCATGTGGTCTGTTGGACACACAGCCTGGGTGAAGTTCAAGAAATTAGAAGCCAGTCAGTGGGGACAAGGCCAGAGCTCAAATTCATGTGTTTTCTCTTTCTACCTACCTTCCTTCCTTCCTTCCTTCCTTTCTTTCTTTTTCTTTCTTTCTTTCTTTCTTTCTTTCTTTTTCTTTCTTTCTTTCTTTCTTTCTTTCTCTCTCTCTCTTTCTTTCTTTCTTCTTTCTTTTCTTTCTTTTTCTTTTTCTTTCTTTCTTTCTTTCTTTCTTTCTCTTTCTTTCTCTCTTTTCTTTCTTCTTTCTTTCTTTCTTTCTTTCTTTCTTTCTTTCTTTCTTTCTTTCATCTTTTTCTTTCTTTCTTTCCTTCTTTCTTTCTTTCCTTTTTTTCTCCTCCCACCCTGGGGGATGGTTGCTTCTTTATTAAAACTTTTGGTGCAGCCATATGCCTGAGATCTCTTTGTACTACCCATATTGATGTTCCTTCACATTTTCATTTATTTCATTTTAGCTCATGTCTGTCAGACTTGTATTCTGGCTGTATAATCCATGATTCAGTGATGCTTTGCCAGTTCATTCTTTGCCTCATCATGTAGGCTAGATTGCATCATTAATTCCAAGGACACTTATGTATGGTACAAGGCATACATGATTTCATACTTAGCTGCAAAGTGAGAGGGGTTCGTTGGAATTCTGGAAATCATGAGCCTATAAGAGAAGAAATTTTGATACAAAGACTGGAAAATCAGGGTCCTTTATTCAACATGAATACCATCTTACATTTTTAGGGTAACTTTCCTACACGTATGATTGCAATTAGCTTTCACAACACTTTGTGAGATGTCTAAAGCAGGAACTCTATCACAGCTCCTTCATTCTAGAATCCTGTAGTCCTTAGAGGTGAAAGTACATTGCTCAAGCAGATACAGTTAGGAGTGGAGGACCTCCTGCTCCACCTACATTCTCCTTCCTCCCTATCAGCCCTTCCCCACCTCAATATCCAAGCTGTGTCATTAGAAATTTGTTATTGGTAACAAAACTAGCAAAGTCTTCCCCTGATTTATTTTTCTAGGTTTTTAATAAATTGTAGCAGTTCAGATTTTTATTCCCATGTATTAATATTCCTACATGCTTTCTGGAAGAGAAGAGAGTGGATGGAAATATCATACATGCTTTGGGACAGCAGTCCCCAACCGTTTTGGCACTAGGGACCAGTTTCATGGAAGAAAATTTTTCCATAGACCAGAGATGGGTGGTCGTAGGATGGTTTTGGAATGAAACTGTTCTGCCTTGCATCATCAGGCATTAGTTAGATTCTCATAAGGATCACACAACCTAGATTCCACACATGTGCAGTTCACAGTAGGGTTTGGGCTCCTTTGAGAATTTAATGCCACTGCAGATCTGACAAGGAGGCTCGCCTGTCATTCACCTCTGGCTGTGTAGCCCAGTTCCTAACAGACCACAGACAGGTACCAGTCTGCAGCCTGGAGGTTGGAGACCACTGCTGTAGGAGTTATGTGTGACCCACGGACATCAGCATACTCACTGGCACCACTTAAGGAATGGGTGTAGCATGCAAATTGATATTTGACATATTGTTGATGAGAGTTTGCATACTCTCTACTGTGTCGGCCACTGCTGTCTATCATCTTAGGAGGAGATATTTAATATGGTCACTCTGATGATCCTCATTATTTAATTGCCACCCATGGTAGAACCCCAGAAATGAAACTTTTTGATATTCTCTTTTCAAGGATAAAAATCTCTGACATCTGAAATTGCTTTCTGAGAATTAAGTGGTAAATGAATCTGAGATGAATCTGTAAAAGTTCACAAATAAATTATGTTATTGTTTAGCCTATGAATAATTACACATATAATCAATAATATACAGTAAAGCACATTAGATGCATTCCCAAATATATATATATATATATATATATATATATATATATATATATATGCATATATAGAAAATATATAAGCAATACAACTTTATTCAATATTGTTGGAAAATAAATTGATCTGCATATGTGAGACTTTGGCTTTCTTGCTGAAACACTTACCTTTAAGTATTTTAACTATTTTGATGGACTTTCCTTTGAACTGTTTTACATACTTCTCTTTCAGGAAAGAAAGAGAAATACGGAACTCATTTAGTCCCTTTTGGAAGGCTTGTGTTAATACTATAAACAGAGTTTATTTGTTCTGTTCTCTGAACAGTGTCACCCCCAGATATGGTGGCCTTGAAGATTCTTTGAGACATTCTGTCCATTGTATTTTTGTGTCTCTTTTCTTATCAAAATAACCAGTCTAGTGTTTAGAGGTTTTAGCCTGAGGATCTCTAGCGTTCTCGTAATTTGCTTCTTACATGCATTGAGCTGCAGCTCACAATATAAAAGCATAAATATTACGTCTAAAATAAGAGTTAATAGGCTGTGAGTGATTAGAGTATATATAAATTATGGGAGCTTGATTTTGAGGAGTAACAGCCCTGAATTGCTGATTCTCGGGCCCCTTTTTTCTGCTTTCTCTTTGGTTTCTAGGTGGGATATAAAGAATAGAGGTTGCCTAATAAGTGAAATGTTACTCTCCATTAAAAAACAATGAGGTGCATATGAATGCTTTAAATCTTACTGGGATTAGCAGTGTTTAGTTTGGGATGACCAAGGGATAAGCAGGGAGCGCTTCTGGCTGTGCATAAGAGAGGAGTGTTTTTATTTGTGTTTGTCAAGGATGAACTTATGAGCAAACTACAAAAGGACATTGCCTCTTTAACGGAGGCTCTGGCTTGTGTTCCTGGGAGCTTCACAGCGTTTGTTCGTAAAGCAGCATGAAAGAGTTGATTTTCATTTTATGTTGTGCTTGTGAGGCATTAGCATGATGTTCTAACACTTGTAAATGAATACAGCTCTCGCCTAATCTGTCATTTTAATGCCTTATAGATTTTATTTCACTCGATGTTGTACCAGATTCTCAATAATAATAATCAACTGCTTTGTTGTTCTCTTGCAGAAATTAAATTTCTGCAGTGAGTGTGCAACTAATAAAAGATGTTGCTTGAGGAAACAAAAAATAAATATGATGAATCATAAAATTGGGTGGGAGACGAGAGGGGAAGTTGCTCCTAGATGAAAGACAATTACTGAACCAGTGGTGAATGTGTCTGATTCTCATATTGTCAACAGCTTAATAACCCTCGCAAAGTCTTTAGCCACAGTACTTATATCTGAGCATTAACCTCATGGACTTGGCATTTTCCACAATTCATTGAAAAGCATTAAAATAAAAAGGTGAGGTGATAAAATCACTATGCTCTTTGCTTTGCACCCTAGATAACTTTGCTCAGGGTTGCCATTTTGCCACACATACCTTTTATCTTTTCCCTGTCATAAGCTATCCAGGAGAGTGGCATCAAGGCAGCTGTGTGGGACTTGGAGTATTGGCAAAGACTGCAAAGTGGAAAATAAACAGTGTGTCTATCACCAAGCTACGAGAACACAGCACTTACAGCAGTGAAATGACAGGCCGTGGCAAGCAACTAATTGGTCACCAGCTTTGGAGGAAATATATTATTCCGGACCTCTGTCATTTACCATGTTCTTTAAACTAGAGAAGAAACTGCCAGTTGAAGTGTTGGCTCTAACCCCCCAAAAGAAAGGAAATAGAGAATTAAGCCTGCGAGGCTGGACAGGCACTTTGGAGACTGAGTAATTGAAGGCATCCATTGCTAGAGTCAGTTTCCCGGGACATAATGAATTCACCCCATCGCGCACAGGTATTGTGTGGGTCCAGCGTCAGTTGTGTGATGAATGTTATATTTCACATAGCTTCTGCCTGAGAGTACAGGCTCAAGTGGATTCAGCGTGTGACCAAATTTTTATCAGAGCCGCCCCTTTTTTTTTCACAGTTTATCTGTCTAATTTATCATTTCTCTTGGAAAGGTTGATACACTGATGAGCTACAGAAAGCAAGAGGGAACATGTCCATCTACTAAGAGGAGAAGAGAGCCTAAAACATACACATTCACTAAGGAAAAGAAAGCCAAATGTGAGATAACAGACACTGACAGTGCTAGACCTACAGCTGTAGAATAATATTAAATTTTAAAATATTCAAAGTAAGGACTAAGGCATAATCGAATTGACTTAAGCATGTCAATTTCTATCCTGAACTGGACATATCATATGGAGAAGAGAGGGAATAAGAAGAAACTTATCACACAAAGACGCATTTTATTCATATATTTAAATGTGCATCTACACAGACTCTCCCATTCAGGATAGCTTGAATGAATGATGCCTTAGCGTGCGCTAATATTGTGAGTTTAAAAAGCCAGAGGTCTCAATAGCAACAACTGGTTGTTTATCTTCATCCACAGAAGTATGTAGTCCAAAAATTATAAAATAGTTTAAAATCATATAGGTTAATAGCTTTATAAAAATGTAATCACTGTTTCTTTGATAGGCTTTAAAGGCCCCGTAAACTCTTTGGAATTGTACCCTTTAATGTGTATGGATACATGTACATCTTAGAGACGAAGATCACTGGTTTTCCTCAGATTCTCTAATAACTACAAGACCAAAAAACAAGCCAAAAACCTCTTGTGTAAACTGAAAAAAAGACGAAGAAAAGAAAAATAATAAATTTTAAGGAAACCTATGATCAATTATTCATGAATGTCAGCTCTAAATAGGAAAGGATTTGTTAAAATTAGTTTTTAAAAGTTGTTTATTTTTATAATTTTAATCAGAACAAGAATTATCTTAGAATTTCATATGGAATCCTTTTGCATCCATATGACTTCATTTCCATTTTTAAAACAAATATATAACCTAAAAGATGCCCAGACTATATCTTTCTATTCCTAATCTGTGTGTACTGTTGTGCTTGTATGCGCACACACTCTCTGTCTGCCC